ACCTGAGCCAGTGGAAGCAAATAAATATTGAATAGGAGGGGTCCTGAGATTGAACCTTGGGGAACCCCAAAAAAGTGGAGACATTACTGATCTCTCTTCACCAGGCCAGAGGTTTGGAAGGACCAGGTCAAAGTGTCAGTGATCTGTATCTCCAAAAATTTAATGTTTCTGACCTGCTCCACTGCAACATCATTGATGAGGAGGGTGTGTGACTTGGCTGATTTTTCCTTAAAACAATTATATCCTTTGTGTTCGCATTCAGGATTAAATTGTTTGTATCACACCAGTCCACCAGATGTTTCACCCCTTTCCTGTAGGCCAGTTCGTTGTTGCCCCTGATGACCACCACCATTGTGTCCCTGATGAGACCCACTGACATGGCAGTCATGGATCATCAGCGTCCATGACTCAGCAGCCAGTTGCATATGGAGGTGATGAGCCCAAGAGGAGCTACTTTGCTCACCTAGTGCTGGGGGATGATTGTGTTGGATGCTGTGCTGAAGTCCAGAAACAAAATTTGCACGAGTATTCTTCTCCTCCATGTGTTTCAGGTTACAGTGCAGTGTGGTGGAAACAGTATCCTCTGGGCAGCGGTTGGAGCTGCAGGCAAATTGGAGCAGATCAAATGAGGAAGGAAGGTTTGAGATGATCTGATCCTTCACCAGCCTCTCGAAACACTTCACCCTGATTGGAGTTAGTGCAACAGGGAGGTAGTTGTTCAGTGATGAGATTGTTGCTGTTTTGGGCTCTGGTATGATGATGGCCGTCTTGAGGCAGAATGGAACAACAGTACGGGTCAGTGAGGTCTTAAATATGTCCATGAGGACATAAGCCAGCTGGCCAGCACGGTTTTTGAGAACCAGACCTGGTATGTTATCCAGGCCTGCTGCTTTATGGATGTTGAGTCTTCTCAAGGTCCTCTGGACATCAGCCCAAGTGTGAGTATCTGTTCACTTGGTCAAAGAATAGATTTTCTCACAGCAGCTGCTTAGCTTGCTTACGCCTTGGGCTGACCCTGGTTTCAACATAAATTTAATGAAATCTGGGAGAGTGAGGTGAGTTTAATTGGCCAACCTTAAAAGCAATCAATAAAAATTAAAGGTTAAAGGTTTACTGAGATGCATTTATGAACAAACAGAGCTCAAACTCAATGATCAAACTCACAGCACCAGATTGTAGCTGTGGTAACAAAACAATCTAACTATGAAGATTGTTCTTTGACCTTTTACAAAGTAAACTTGCCAGCTACTTAAAATCTTAAATTTAAATTTTAAACAAATTAGAATCTTTTAATTAATCTCTGCTGAAACCATTTAACAGCAATATCATTTTGAATAAACAAATGTTCCAATGGACCCCTTCTCCATAACTCCTGAATAGATCTTGCTAGGAAGGTTTAGGAGTGTGACCCCCTTGTAGTTGGCGCACACTTAAGTAAAGCACGTCTCCACACATTGAGGCTGTGTAAAAGTGGTACATTTTTTAACAGGTTAGTATCAAACAAAAGTTGAGGGTCCCTCAGACACAGCAGAGGAAGAATAAATCAGATGGGGGGGGGGGGGAGGGGGGGGGTGGGATGCAGTTAGTTGGCATGGGAACAATTATCTTTGAGGTGAGGATTGTGAATTGCAAACAACATACTCCAATATAGCAGTGAGAGCTAGCCAAGAGGAATAGAAGTGCACCAACCTGCACAATGCTACTTATGACCATCGGCAGCATGTTGAGAGGAAAGCGCAGAATATTGAAAAGTGCCAGTGACACAAAGGCCTTCTGCGCATCGAGCACGTTCTGATCATCAATCAGCACATACACAGCAAATGTGGACAGGGCAACCTGTAGAGCAGCAGAAAACACTCAGAATCATTTTAACATATTTATGTGTTTTTAATCACTTAAATGTTTTTATTGGAAGAGAAGAAGTGGAATGATGAACATCATTCTCTCAGAGAAGGACTCACCAGAAAGGGAGCACAGACCCAGGTGAAGGTGGACATGGCACCCAGGTAAGCTGTCTTCTTCAGCACATGCAGCTCGCTCTCCCGGATTTCTGACACCTTTTCTTTGAAGGCCAGCTCCCATGCATAGAGCTTTAGCACCTTTATGCCATTCAGCATCTCATTCATTAGCTTAATACGACTGTCCTTGCTTTTCATCTGAGCCACCTGTTCAACACATGATTACAGCAAAAGATACCATGCCATGTATTTATTGTGAAGAGTCATTAGGATACAGACAACCAGAGGTGAGGAGTTGTGAGATGGTGTACCTGGTATGTTTTAGTTTTCATGGCAATCACGGCATTAATCGGAACCATCAGAACCATCACAGCTACTCCTGCTAGGACAGATGGACCCAAGTTCTGGACAAATAAACAGATAAAATGAGAAATTTGCCCTCAAGAAAACAGACAGAAAAGCATCAGCAATCAATAATTTAAACAGCAGCTTTACATTCTCGGTAAATTTACCTGCCAGAGAAAATAGAGGGCTAGCACCACCTGCAGTGGGGCAGACCAAACCATATTGATGTATGTGACCAGATCCATGAAGCGCTGAGCATCCACAGACATCAGATTGACAATTTCTCCCACAGTTGATGTGCGCCGTGCTGCGTTGCTTATGACCAAGGCCTGAAAGAGCAAATCCACTAAGTGATATGTCCCTATGGAGGTTAAAGTTAAACTCTACACTGACATTTAAAAGTATGATCAAATCTGACCACAAAGAAGCTAACTTTCAATTGTGCATTATGTTCATTCATTTTGTAATGATGGTTAGGATTAGAGTCATGGCCATTCCTTGGCCAAGAAGGACAAGGCACTTGAAAGCATTGGATTCTCTAAACTGAACCTATATTAAGGCATACATGATTTCAAGAAAACAGCCAACATCCCCCACTGAAGAAGAAAAGAACATCATTATTCTGTATGTGGCTGGATTATCTGAGAAACTAAGGAAAATATTTTGTAGAAATAATATTCTGGTGCGTTTTAAACCCACCAACATTCCTAATGATTGGTTCATCCCAAGGACTGTGCATCCAAACAAAGCAAAGCAGTACGGTACAGTGCCTTGCAAAAGTATTTGGCAAACTTGAACTTTTCAACCTTTTGTCACTTTTCAGGCTTCAAACATAAAAATCTAAAATTTGTATTATTTTGTGAAGAACCAACAACAAGTGGGGCACAATTGTGAGGTGGAATGAAATTTATTGGATATTTTAAACTTTTTAACAAATAAAAAATGCAAAGAAACAAGAAACCATGTTGCTTGAGGCCCAGTCTCAAGCAACATCACCACAATCATTGATGGTTTAGATTCCATGTCATCTGCTGGTGATGATCCACTGTGTTTTCTGAGGTCCGAGGTCAAAGCAGTCATCTACCAGGAAGTACTTCATGCATCCTGCTGCTGAAAACTTTGTTTGATTTTCCAACAGGACTTGGCACCTGTACACAGTGCCAAAGCACCAGTACCTGGTATAAGGACCGTGGCATCTCTGCTCTTAATTGGCCAGCAAACTCGCCTGACCTGAACTCCATAGAAACTCTATGGGCTATTGTGAAGAGGAAGATGTGATACACCAGACCCAATAAGTCAGAATAGCTGAAGGTCATCATCAGGACAACCTGGGCTCTCATAACACCTGAACAGTGCCACAGACTGATCAACTCCATGTCACACCACATTGCTGCAGTAATTTGGGCAAAAGGAGCACCAACTAAATACTGAGTGCTGAACATGCTCATACTTTTCATGTTCACACTTTTGCAAGATTTCTAAAAATCCTTTTTTGTATTGGTCTAAAGTAACATTCCAATTTTCTGAGATACTGAATTTGTGGTTTTCATTAGTTGTGAGTTATAATCATCAACATAAAAATAAATAAACATTTAAAATATGTCAGTCTGTGTGTAATGAATGAACATAATATACAAGTTTAACTTTTTGACAGGAATTGCTGATTTAAAACAACTTTTTCATAATATTCAAATTTTTTGACCAGCACCTGGCCAAGATGCTGAGAATGCGATCTCACTTGATGCTGAGAGCGCATTTGATCGGGTGGAATGGGAATATCTATACTTTATACTTTTCTCTCTTGGAATAAATGTAATCAGATCTGGAAAAATGCATAAGATATCAATAATTTAACATTATCAACAGATAGCTCCTTTCTCTTTACCTAGGCTGAAGAAGTAACTTATTTGGGAATTAAAATTAGTAGGGGTGCATGATAAATATCGGCCTAATAACATGACATCATTCTTATGGGTCTGATATGACTTATCGGTCACGGCACCGATAACACTTTTGGTGCCATGGGTGTTTTTTTAATCAATCACTCCCACTCCTGCATGAGACCTGTGTGAAGTTCAAGTGGCGTGAGTATAATTGAAGAAAACAACTCTCTGACTGTAAAGAAATCATACTAAAATTCCCTCATGTCAGAAAACCACTCAATCATAATTTAAATAATAGCTAAAAAAAATAATACACCAATTTCAGCAGTGCATTACACGCAAACAACAGAAACATAAACAAACCGGGACTTTCAACGCCATGTAAATGCGGCCCAGCTTGTCAGTAAACAGAAACCATAAACGCTGTAGTTTTGTTAGAGGTTAATATGCTGGCTTTGTTGAACAAATGTTGAAAGAAAGTTCCATGAGAAGCAAAAACAGCATGACCATGAAAAATTTGATCAGTCACCGTAAACATAACCATTGCTTTGACAGAGTATTCAAAGCATTTGAGGACACCCACAGTGCTAAAGATGGTAGCAACACGCCAGTCTAATACAAGCCATTGGGACTGAAATCCATCTGTGAAGTTTTGAAAAAAATAAAGTTTCCTGAGGGGATACAAGGGCTAAAGTCATTAAAGATCTCATAATGAAATGTCGGCATTTCACAACCAGCTGTCCGCCCTCGAAGACAGGGGCTGTTTTCGGCTCATTAGCCACTACATATGTTGGTCTGTCACATATCATTTGATGAAATGCATTGAAGTTTGTGGCAAGACAAAATGTGGAAACAGTGAAAATTCAAGAGGTACCTCAAGTATTCCATACTTAAAGTAAACTCAATTTCTGCCTTTTTCTGGACTTTTTTTCCCATAAATTTATTATACTGGTTTAGAGTATTTGAAACGTAATCAATTATGAATTTAGTGATGGCACTTGCCTTAATGTAATGTTTTTGATTGTTCATTCTATGTTGCATGACTTAGTGTTTTGTGTTTGCTTTGATGTAAAGCACTTTGAAATGCCTTCCTGGTGAAATGTGCTATACAAATAAAATTTGATTTGATTCGATTTGATATACAGAGAAGCTTCTACAATGTTTTTGAAGCACAGTGCTGC